GCTCCCTTGGGTAAAGGTAGTCCTTATATGTCTACCTTATATGTCTACCCTACCCCTTGTGTAAATGGCGCTGGGGATAGGGGACGTAGCTTGAATCCAGCCAATGAGCGGATTTTAATTGATCAGCTGGTCAATTAAAAAACCGGGAGGGCAGTGTGCCAAATAGAGTTTACTTGCGTACCTTTTTCTCGGTTGAGATTGTTGGGATGTTTTAAAATTTCTAGACCTTCGCGACGATTTCTTGCAAAATAATTCTGTGATGGAGCCAGTCTGGTGGTCTTGTCATATTGTACGGAGTGTCCAGTCTCCATCCAGTGTTCAGCTAGGGCTGATTGAGCAAAGTGGCCGTACTTAGTATATCACTGGTATTCTTTGATTCGCGTACTGATCTTCCTCCCGGTTTCCCCTATATAAACTTTACCACAAGAGCAAGGGATCTTATATACACCTGATGTTTCTAGGCATGATTTCTGATCCTTCGGATTTGGAGGTAAATGGGAAAGCTTCCTATGGGGTTTGAAGATTACTTTGATTTTATGTTTACCCAGAATCCTGCTGATAGGTTCTGTTATGCCCTGGAGATATGGAAGGACAGCCGTCTTTTTCTCTTCTCTCTTTTCATCTAGTGTGTCAGCGTTTTTAGGACTGAGCATTCTGTTCTTCAGGTTTTGTATTGTTTGCGAGACGTTTTTGCTGTTGTATCTATTTTTGGTTAAGGTTGTACTGAGGTGTTCTAATTCTCCATTCTACTTATTTTCAATTCCAAGAAGAGTTCTTCGAACAAACCTCTGGAGCGGCAATGGGATCGCCTATATCTCCTATCATTGCAAACAGCTTTATGGAACATTTTGAAAATGAAATTCTGAAAAACGCACCATTAAAACCATCCACATGGTTTCGGTATGTTGACGATATCTTTGTGATTTGGAATCATGGTAGGGAAACTCTTTCTCAGTTTCTCGGTTTTCTCAATTCACAGCATCCCAATATTCAGTTCACAGTGGAAGTGGATCAAAATGATCAAATTCCCTTTCTGGATGTGCTAGTCCAAAGGAACCAAGATGGTACCTTAAGTCACCAGGTCTACCGGAAACCAACACATACGGACCGCTATCTGCATGCAACCTCTCATCATCATCCCTCGCAAAAGAATTCTGTCATAAGTTCATTGGTTTACAGAGTGCTCACAATTTCATAATCATCTTCTCTGGATGGAGAATTAGAACAC